TTTGAGCATTTTGTTGGGTGCTAATTACTGAGATTTGGAAGAGAATGAGAGGAACAAGTGGTGTTGAGAATCAAATGTTTTATTTGTACAATTACATATGTCTGTGTGATATCTAAGAGAGATTGAATAGGCAGGTGGATGCAAAGCCTAAAGTTCAGAGAAGAGGTTTGGGCTGGAGATGTAAATTTTAGATTTGTCAGTTGAATTAGATAAGGAGAGAAAAGGATTCTTTTTCTTTTTTTTCTTTTTAAAAATATGTGTTTTTATTGATTTCAGAGAGGAAGTGAGAGGGAGGGAGGGAGGGAGGGAGAGAGAGAGAGAGAGAGAGAGAGAGAGAAACATCAATCATGCGAGAGAATCATTGATTAGCTGTCTCCTGCATGGCCCACATTGGGGATTGAGCCTGGCAACCCAGGTATGTACCCTGACCAGGAATTGAACTGTGACCTCCTGGTTGATAGGTATTGTAGATGCTCAACCAACTGAGCTACACCAGGCTGGGTGAGAAAAAGACTTCTTTCAAGATCTTGCTGAAGTTGGCCAGTGACATTTCAGTAGGTTGGCAATGGTAATCTCACCATTTCAGTGGAATGGCAATTCTTTAGTGAATAGAATGCTTAGTCAATTAACAATAACATCTTGTTCTTCAAACCTTTTGTATAAATGAAGCTGAGTACATTTATTCTCTAAGCAGCTTAAATAGATTGCTTATGCTTATTGGCTATATAACCCTCTGGTTCTTTGTTGCTGAACAGGGACCAAAACTTCAATGAACAAATTTTTAAGATGCCTTGGCACTTCTTCATTGTACAAATATCAATATTAATATCAGGTTAAAGAGAGAAATGCAATTAAATTTTTACTAATTCTTATTTATGAGTATGTAGAGTGAACAATTATAGTAGTGGGTATTTTTTTTTTTTTTTGAACACTTACTGTGTTCAGGGCTCTCTACTTTACTCTTTCCAAGTATTAAATAGTATTGCTCCTGGTTTTCAGGTGAATAAATGAAGGCTTGGTGAAAATACATAAACGGCAAAGCTCAGACACAAAGCCATGGCTTTAGCTACTATATTGTGCTGCTAATTTATCAACTAATAAAAATCACTTTGTTTAAAAATGAAAGTGATCAAGAATCTCTCTGAAAGATCAATATTTGTGAGTCTGATCAATGTTTGTGAGCTTGTTTCTTTGAAATAGAATTAATTGCTTTAATAGTTACCAACTGACTTGAAGTCATAGCTAGGATGTTTGCAAAGTCACATTGGGATTAGGACTATATCTAGATGAGAGAGTTCAAAAGAAATAAGTATAAAACCAGCTGTTTGATATTAGAACCACACATATGATTTTAATATTACAATTGCCACTTCTAGCTATTCTCTCAGAAATATCCAATCTTGAGTTAATTTTAAAATGCTGATCTTAGGGTGTTTGGCACATGCAGAATACCAAAGATGGTGGCTTTAGTTTTCTTCTAAAGAGTGTCTATGGACATTTAGACACTGGTACGATGGCTTATTTTATATTTGACTCTTGAGTAAACTTTAAATGGAGGCAAATACATGACAATATTATTTGCATATTTAGAACTCTTAGAATAGCTATTCTAATTATACTATGTTTGTCAAGTACACTGAAGGAGCCATTATATTTTTAATTGCAATTCATTTCCATGTTAGTTACTGCACCATAAAAATTAATTTAAGTAATGTTAAAGCTTTCCATTACAGGGATTCTATTTACTAAATCTTTTATTGGAATTTCTGTAAAGTAGTAATCTGAATTCAGAAAGACAAACAATTTTGAGAGTAATACATTAGTTTTAAATATGATGTTAGTGGCAGGCTCAGATGTGCTGGACATTGCATAGATCCATTTTACACTTTAAATAGAAGGAAAAAATATTTTTTATGTGTGCAGTAATTACTCCAGTAGCAGTGATTATTCAATCCAGTAACAAAATAGTTAATTTTATAGAAAATATGATGATATTAATTAAGTCAAAATATGGAAAATTATTATTCATAAGAGAAAATAAAATTGTAAGTCATAAAATTATGTTTTAAAGATATAAATAATTATATGACACCTAAAGAACAAGCAATAAAAGAAAAATTAATTTGGACTACATAAAAATAAAAAAATGTGCTGCAAAGGCCACAAGAAACAGAATGAAAAGGCAACCCACCATGTGGAAAAAAATATTTGCAAATCATATGTCTGACAAGGCGTTAATAATCAGAATATATAAAGAATTCCTACAAGTCAGCAACAACAACACAAACCAAATTTAAAAATGGGCAAGATTTAAATAGGCCTTTTTTCCATAGAAGGTACAAAAATAGCTAAAAAGCACATGAAAGTGTTCAATATCATTGATCCTTAGGGAAATGAAAATTAACACCGCAATGAGATATCATCTCACACCCATCAGAGGCTGCTTTTAAACGCCTGCGTGCATGCCCCCCCCCCCCCCCCCCCCCCCCACACACACATATGCACGCACACCAGAAAATAATGTTGGTGAAGATGTGGAGAAATTGGAACTGTTGTAAATTATTGCTGGGAATGTAAAATGGGTCAGCTTCTATAGAAAACAGTATGGTGGTTCCTCAGAAAATTAAAAATAGAATTATAATGTGATCCAGCAATTCCATTTCTAGGTATATACTCAAAAGAATTGAAAGCAGGGACACGAACAGATGTTTATATATTCATATTATTTGAATATCCATTATTCACAATAGCCAAAAAATGGGAGAAACCAAACTTCCATCAAAGGGTGAATGGATAAACAATATATAATATAAACATACTGTATAATATTATTCAGCCTTAATAAAGAAGGAAATTCTGACACATGCTACAACATAGATAGACCTTGATAAATTATGAAATAAAGTCACAAAAGGATAACTACTGTGTGATTCCATTTATATGAGGTACTTAGAATAGACATATCTGTAGAATAGACAGTAGAATTGTGGTAGCCAGGGGCCAGGGAAGGGAGAAATGGGGAGTTACAGAATTTCAGTTTTGCAAGATGAAAAGTTATGGATGGTGGTGATTCTTACATTAATATTAAATATGATGTTAGTGGCAGTTTCACATGTGTTGGGCATTGCATAGATCCATTTTACACTTTAAATAGATGAAAAAATATTTTTATGTGTGCAGTAATTACTCCAGTAGCAGTGATTATTCAGTCCAGTAACAAAATAGTTAAGCAAAAAGCAAAACTTGAATTTGCCACTTGCCAAGCACTGTGTTGAATCCACTCAAATGAAGTGGTATATGAGATAAGCTAAGTGAAATAAGCCAGTCAAATGAAGTGATATGTAGACCATCTGCACATATAGATTATTAGAGGTCAATGTGAAGTTATTTAATGCCATTAAAATATACAATATTAAATTTTATGTTAGGTGTCATTTACTAGGATTTAAAAAACAATAAAATATAAAAATTATTTTAAGTGGTATGATGTTAAACATTTTTAAAAGAAGACAAAATTTAAATTATAAAAGGCTGTATAAACTGATAATTAGGAACTAATCTGAAAATATATTCAGAGTTTTTTCATACATATTAAGGTATATGTTGATACATTATGAACATATTTGGCAATGAGACATCTGACAAAGGGTTAATACTGTATCTAAAATATATAAGGATCTTATACAGCTTAACAAACAAGACAGATAATCCAATTAAAAATGAGAAAGGACCTAAATAGACACTTCTCCAGAGAGGATATACAGATAGCCAAGAGACATATGAAAAAATGCTCAAAAATCATTGATCATCAGAGGGATACAAATTAAAACAATGAAAGATCACTTCACACCTGTCAGAATGGCTATATCAACAAATTAAGAAATGAGAAGTGCTGGTGAGGATGTGGAGAAAATCGAACCCTAGTGCACTGCTGGAGAGAATGCTGGTGTCCAGTGCATGTCATAGCAACTGATTATTCTACCGGTCATTTGGCTGTACAGTCAATTTGCATATTAGGGTGTTATTATATAGGACTAGAGGCCTGGAGCATAAAATCTGTGTGTAGGTACGGTATTTAAGCCTGGCCTGTGATCAGGGCCATCTTCCCCAGCTGCCCGCAGCCAGCCCATCCCCCATCCCCACCCACCCCCAGTTCCCCATTTGCCATTGGGTGATCAGTGCCTGACGGGCAGGGGAAGGGACTGAGAGGTTGGCTGTTCTTGCCTGCTCACTGGCCCCGTCCCTGTCATGGGTGGCCATCAGGCGATTGGAGCCTGCTGGCTGGGGAAAGGTACCAAGAGGTGGTCAGTGTACCTCATAGTGATTGGTCCAGCAGTTGTTCTGGTTGTCCTGCCGTTAGGGCCCTATTACCCTTTTATTTTATAGGATAGAGGCCTGGTGCATAGGTGGTGGCCGGTTGGCCTTCCCTGAAGGGGGCCCCAGATTGGGGTGGGAGATACCCATTGGGGGGCTGTGAGTAGTTTGGCCAGCCTGGATGAGGGGCTGCGAGTAGTTTGCAGGCTGGCCACATCCTGATTGGAGTGGGGGTGCCCTCTGGGTGGCAGGGTCGGCCTGGGCAAGGGTCTACAGGTGGTTTGCACACCAGCCATGCACCCGATCAGGGTGGGGGTCCCCACTCAGAGGTAGGGCCAGCCTGGTCGAGGGATTGTGCGTGGTTTGCAGGCTAGTCACCCCCCGGCTTTGTCAGGAAGCACATCCGGAAGGATGTCCGGTCTGTCTTGTCTAATTAGCATATTACCCTTTTATTAGTATAGATATGTAATTACTATGCCATTTTATATTAGGGACTTGGGCACCCAAATATTTTAGTATCCTTGGGGGTCCTGGAATCAATCTGCCATCGATACCAAAGACAACTGTATATAATTATACACAATGTAAAAATCTATTATATGCTCTTTTTGGTGATGAGGATTTTCTGGAGATACAATGAGAGGAATTACATAATAAGCTCAATTCTAATATCTTGTTCTGTTTCAGATCTGTGGTCACTTGTTCACGTGGTTTCGAAGCACAATGAGTCACGCTGGCTCTTGGAAACTTTGGCTCTGCGCGGTAGTGCTCCTGCTTCCTGCTTCCACTTCCGTGACGGTCAGGGACAAGCCAGGTATCCAGGCTCCCTCTTTTCCCAGTCATCAAATGCTATTTATAGCCTTTAAATTATTTTTCAAATCATGAAGATAAACCTTGTTAAAGTTGAAGAGGCCAGGGATTAACTTTATTAAGACAAAATAAATAATATATTGTTTTCCCCATTCACCTTCATTTGAACATTGAGAATTCCTAAAATTACCTCATTTTTTTTCCATATGCATATCATATTGGTCTAAATGCCTTTTCTTTCTCGCATTGATATTTGCAAATATACATATATTTGTGTTCATTTCTGTGTGTATATTTCTCCCTTTCTCCTTTAAGTTTTAAATTATTTGAATTTATTTAAATTATAAGTACAGAAACTCATCACCATTTAGGATTAACTGGGGACATAGCTAATCTTAATTAGGAAAAAGTGAAAAACAGAATAGGAGATATAAAAGGAAATGTCGTTTAATTATACATCAGTTTTGTAATATCTCAGATGAGGTGAACAAAAGATTTCAACTAAGTAGGTAATATTTAATTGTAATTGTTAGATTGTCAACCTCATAAATATTTCCAAAGGGCTTGAAGGCAATTTGAAACATTTAATTCTACCTCTAATCTTTATAAATAATTATGTGACCAATTTGGAAGGTTTTTCTTGAACACTGAGTATGTGTAAGGTACCAATCTAGATGTACCTCATAAGTAAAAGTTGAAAAAGCCATTTTCTAAGCAAAAAGAAACTTCAACTCTCCTTCTGTGCAATTACATATATTCTGATTATGGTCACATGTGATGATATATACTGAGTACGAGTCTCATTGTGCTTATTCTTTTAAGTATATCCTTTAATAATTTTTGCCAAACATGTATGAATACACTCTGATAGAAACTTTTGAGTGTGAGGCACACATAAAATAAAAGCAATCTCTTATAAAGCATAACAAATTTTAATTTCTGAGTGTTATGTGAGTCTTTATGACTCTTTTTTTTTAAATTAATTTGGCAGGAAGTACATTTCCTAAAATAATTTACATGAAAGTTTGTGTATCCTACCACTGTATAAATGACATTCTGTGGCTGTCAATTTTTTTTTTGGTGTGGGGTGTGGGGAACTCTTTCTTTAATGAGAAAGAAATCAAGAAAGACTCATGGTAAAAAGAAGTACATGGAGCAGGGGAGTTTATTCTGACAAAGTTGTTACTATTTTGGATTCATTTATGACTCTTTTAAGAGAGCTAGAGAGAAAGCAAATTGCTACTGAGAGGTAACAGGACTGTTTTTGGTTAGAAAGGAAAATGAATCTCTGATTAAGTAGAACACAGTTTTTAGGCACATGCTAGTGTGTAATAAATGATTTTGGTGATAATTATTTGAAAGATCTGCAAAAGTGGATTTCCAGTCTCAGTGTGAGCATGTATCATTAGGGGTATTGATTTGCAAGCCCCAGTCTCAGAAATTCCCATCATGCAAGTCAGCCTTGGGTGGGATTCAGTCATTTACATGTTTAGCAAGCTCCTGAGGTCAATCTAATGCAGCATGTCTAAAGAAAACACCGTTAGCATAATGGCGTTGGTTTTCTTACATCTTATGCTATTGGATTTATTTTATTTATTTATTTATTTATTTATTTATTTATTTATTTATTTATTTTGCTTTTAATAACTTTTCCTTTATTGGGGTGAGAACACTTAACATGGGATCTACCCTCCACAAATGTCTAAATCAATCATACAGCAGTGTTGACTATAGGCACAGTGTAGGACAGTGGATCTCTGGAACGTAATCATCTTGCATAACTGAAACTTTCCAGCTTGGGATTCCCCTGAATGTTTTGCTTTTGCAGCATTGGTATCTCAGTTCTTTTATCAGGTTATACCGTATGTAGGACAACAAAAATGTATGTATGCTGGCCCATTAATTTACCAACTTAATCTATCTGATAAGAGTATGAATTCAAAATCAATCTGAACTCTAACAGGATTCACATAACATAAAGTACTAAAGGACATTAAGAACAAGAGTAAGGGTTGGTTTTTATCATGCCATTAGGTAGTAGGTGCCCGCAAAGTCATACATACTGCTCGTGCCATGGAAATTGCTTACCGTGTCACCACAGCACTGTCATGAGGATTATTGAAGATGATGTCCCAACGGGCATCGTCGTCTTGTGTCGCTGATTCACAGCGCAGGTTCCAGTTTTAGTTTCCTCATGTGCAGACCTGTGCATGCGGTCACTAACCATTTACCGGAGGGAAGTGATTACATCTAAAAATAAAATATAACCAATCTGAGGGAGAGGCTAAGGTTTCAGCTCTGGAGTCTGAAGTTGTCAACAGTCTACTGTTAAACCTAAACATATGAAGGATGAATCGAGTCTTTTAATTGCTTTACGTTGACTCTATGGTATCTTTAACAATTACTCGAATATTGTCCTATTTGGGACAGAATTCAAGTGAAATATGGAGTGCTTCAATAACAACTTGAATTTTAAAATCATGAGGCTGCTTAGAATTTGCTTCACGTTTTTCATCAATTGTACCATTATGTGGAGAATATGAGATAAGGCATATTTGCGTATTTTTATGCTACAGATGAACTTCTGTTTGAATGTGGCAGTTTCAACTTAATTGTCAAAAGACGGTGGGGAAGAGAGTTGTATTAAAAATTATACAGCATGTAGATCAACTCAAAACTTAATGTACTCAGTTACTTAAAACTTTCTTCTGTGATAGCTACTTAAGTATCAAACTAGAGGCTTAGTGCACAAATTCATGCACAGCCGAGACCAGTTTGGCTCAATGGATAGAGCGTCGGCTTGGGGACTGAAGGGACCCAGGTTCAATTCCGGTCAAGGGCATGTACCTTGGTTGCGGGCACATCCCCAGTAGGGGGTGTGCAGGAGGCAGCTGATTAATGACTCTCTCTCATCGATGTTTCTAACTCGCTATCTCTCTCCCTTCCTCTCTGTATAAAATCAATAAATTATATTTAAAAAAAACAAAAACAAATTCATGCACAGATGGGGGCCCCTTAGCTGGGGGTGGGGCGGCGGGACCCTGATCAGGGAGAGACAGCGGGAAGTTGCCCGACCATGAGAGGTTGGCTGTGGGAGCACACTGACCACCAGGAGGCAGTTCTTGCATTAAGCATCTGCCCCATCATCACAGTGACCGGTCGATGGGTCGTTCGGTCAACTGGTTGTAACAGTCACTTAGGCTTTTATATATATAATTAATTAAAGTTTCCTTTTTTCTCTTACTCTTCTCTTTCCCTTTAAGATAAAATATCGAATTATCATCAACAGTAACATTAAGCAGAATAAGGAAAAGCATCAAAAAACAAAACCAACAAAAAAATAAACCCACACAACTAAATACAAAGAAATATGATAGAATGCCAACTAAATATATATATATTTACTTATGATAAAACTTCAAGTTAAGTATTGGTATTTAGATTTAATTGTTTATAAACTTGGATTCCAAACTATACACATAAACCATTTTAAATTAGTTTTATATTAATTTCAAGAAAAAAATACATTCTGAAATTTGGCTTTTACCAATTGACAAACATTGCACTCTGAAATTCAGAGTAAAATGTATGCTGTCATATAGAAAATATTATTTTGTGTTTTCAAGAATTTCTCATGTTGAGTATGGCACATGTAAGCATGGTGCTGCTGACCAAGGCACTTTGTGACTAAGTGGAGAAAAGCTTCACAGATGTTCAGAAAAGGCATTGCTCCTCCACCAGTGTTCTCTCCTGTGGAGGAATAGCTTTGGAAACAAAATAAGCAGTGAAGATTCTGTGACCTTTTGTGATCTCTCTCTTAAAATAGCTTTCTTCCTCTCCCCCTCTTTTTTCTTGTTTGATCACTTTTCTGTATTATTTTTGTTATATTCTGGTCCAATGTGCTTTCTCTATTTCTCTTAGGTTATTGAATATCTAGGTCTTAGAGTTCAGGTATATTTAGCTTTTGTAAGTGCTGCCAAACAGTTTTCTAAAGTGGTGGTCCTGTTTCTACTCCCACAAGCAATGTAGGAGCATTCTCCTTGCTCCACCTCCTCATCAGCACTTAGTTCTTTAATTTTTGTAAGTGCTGCCAAACAGTTTTCTAAAGTGGTGGTCCTGTTTCTACTCCCACAAGCAATGTAGGAGCATTCTCCTTGCTCCACCTCCTCATCAGCACTCAGTTCTTTAATTTTTAGTCATTTACTTGTATCTCATTGGGGTTTGATTTTGCATTTCCCTGATTACTGAAGATGTTGAGCAATCTTTCATATGCTGGTTGACAATTTGGATATTCTTTTTTGTGAAGTGCTTAAGTTGTGTTTGCGTGCGCGCGTGTGTGTGTGTGTGTATGTGTGTGTGTGCTTGTGTGTGTTTGTGTGTGTGTGTGCATTTTCAAAATAGGGCTTCAATCTTCTTATTATTGATTTGTGAGAGTCTTTGTATATTCTGGATAAGATACTTTATAGGATGTGTGTTGCAATAGTCTGTAGTTCCTAGTCTGTGGCTTGCCTTTTTGCTCTTTTAATGTCTTTTGATTAAAAAATATTTTAATTTTAATGAAGTCCAATTTATCTTTTATAATTAGTACTTTCTACATCCCTTTTAAAAAATCTTTGCTACTCCAAGTTCATGAAGATTTTATGTTATTTTTCTTTATTGTTTTATCTTTTATCTTTTAAAGTTAGGTCTAAGATAATCTCTAATTAATTTTTGTGCATAGTGTGAGATAAGGGTCAAGGTTCGGTGTTTTCCTACATGGAGATCCAATTGACTCAGAACTATTTATTGAAAGATGATTCATTTCCCATTGTATATCAGTGGCCCTTTCATGGTAAACAAGGAGATCAGAATTGCAAAGTGTTTTTAGATACTTTGTTTCATTGATCTATTTATCTACATGTATACCAACAAATACTATATTATAAAAATTCCTGATATCTGACTGTACATTTTCTAGCTTATTCTTCTTTGATTTTGCCTTAGCTATGTTAGTTTTTGTAGTTCCATATAAATTTGAGAATCAGCTTGTCAGTTCAAACACACACACACACACACACACAAACACACACACACACCACACACGTTCACACACACGCTCACATACACACATACACTTATACACTCACACACAACCTGTTGGGATTTGCATTGCATTGCTATTGCATTTGCTATTGCATTGAATCTGAAAATAAATTGACAATTGACAGCTTAACAATATTGAATCTTCCTATCTAAATACTCTGGCTAATCTCTTCAGTTACTTAGGTATTTAATGTCTCTCAGCAATATTCTCTAGTTTTTGGTGCAGAGATCTTGATGAAATGCTTGGTTTTATGAAAGTGACTATGATTCTAGCTCAAGCATGTCAAACTCACAGGCTAACACGGGTCAAATACACAAGGTTTAAGTTTATGTGGGCCGCAAAAAGACAAAAGCTTCAATTTTCATAGAAATGTAGGTCTCTTTTGATAGAGACATGCTGAATACAAAGGACTGAAATAAATGAGTAATTGTTAATATAAAATAATAGAACATTTTCATAAAAGTTAACATTTTTTTTCTTGAACATTAACTTACCAGGCACCGAATAACTGCACAAATTAATAAGCGTAGTGCAAATAAACCTATTTTTCTTGTTTTCTAAAAGCGAAATATTTCCTGTTGCACACAAGTAGTCCAAGGCTAATGATGGGCAATTGGCTGAAATGGTGTGCCTGCATGTAAGGGAAATGAACGCAACACGATTATAATAATCAGTCAGTGAATGTTGTAGTTCGTTATTAATAATTACAGGATATTGTAAAAATTAAGTTACGAAATTTTTATTAAAACATTTTTTACATACTGTTATATTGGCTGAGCCACAAAAATATTGTTATGGGCCACATGTGGCCACAGGCCGTGAGTTTGACATGCTTGCCCGAGCTGGTTTGGCTCAGTGGATAGAGTGTCAGCCTGTGGACCAAAGGGTCCCAGCTTTGATTCTGTTCTAGTCAAGGGCATGTCATACCTTGGTTGCAGGCTCCTCCCTGGCCCAGACCCTGATAGGGGCTCATGCAGGAGGCAACCAATTGATGTGTTCCTACCACTTCAATGTTTCTCTCTGTCTTTCCCTCTCTTCTACTCTCCCTAAAAAATCAATGGGAAATATTTTTAGGTAAGGATTAACAAAAAAACAACAAAACAAAACACAAAAAAATCCCCGACAACTATGAATTCAAGTTTAAAAATTGATAATGTTTGCAAAATGTCCAGTTTTACTATAATATAGGACCTGCAGTTATGTTTAGATCTTTGAGGTAGGAATTTCCATAGTAGCTAACTAAGTAATCTCAACAATTATTCTGTGCTATAACTTCCTTTATGTGTATTGAAGCTATTGATTAAGTGATAGCACTAGTTAGAATTTGATTTATTATTCTGGTTAAATATATTAAGGTGATGCTCTGAATTTTGTGATGTATTTGTTAAAGAAAGGACTCAGGAGCCCAGAAATTGAACTGGAGAATCAGTAATTTTCATTTTCCACAGAGCAGAAGGTCAATTTGATTTTAAGCAGTTTATCTCCCCTCTGAATTCAAAACTTTTAGGCCATTGAACCCAAACAGGAGTCTTAGATGTGGAGAATTAAGGTTGTGATTTACATTTTTAGAATCTAGCCTGAATTAGATTTAAACATACCCAGATAATAAAAAACTAGTGTCTACATGTACATTACTGTTTGAGTGTGTTGTGGTACTATTGAATATGTAAATTTGCTTTGAGTAGAGACAAAATGTATCTTTTATTTCTTTGAATATTATTAAGTGTCTCAGCACATAATACTTTCTCAATGACTCTTTTTCCTCATTATAGGCCAGTTTTGTTTATAGTAGAGGTCTTTACTTAAAAAAAAAAAAAACCCCACACACAATATATACAATTATTGATTTCAGAGAGGAACAGAGAGGGAGAGAGAAATAGAAACATCAATGAAGAGGGAGAATCATTGATCAGCTGCCTTCTGCATGCCCCCTGCTGGGGATTGAGTCTGCATCCAGGGCATGTGCTTTGACTGGGAATCGAACTGTGATCTCCCGGTTCATAGGTTGATGCTCAACCACTGAGCCACGCCAGCTGGGCGAGGATTTCACTCTTGCTTTTTAATTTTATTTTACCGTATTTTCCGGCATATAAGACGACTTTTGAAATGAAAAAATGTCAACCGGAAATCGGGGGGCGTCTTACACGCCGAGTATATCCCGAAAATAGGCGAATATAGGCCTAAACCTATGTTTTAACTGTAAAATTAGGGGGTCCTCTTATACACCAGAAAATGTGATAATAACTTCTATGTAGGTTGCTGCCTTAGTCAATTCAGTCTATGGTATTAGTCTGGGGGGCTTAAACATCAAACATATATTTCACACAGTTATGGAGGCTAGAAGGTCCAAAGTCAGGGCACTAGAGAGGTGAAGTTCTGGTGAGGGTCCTCTTTCTGTTTTCCTCACATGGCAGAGAGAGGAAGAGCTTCTGTCTCTCTATACCCTGATAAATAAGGACAACAGTCCCATCATGGGGGCCCCACCACTATGGCCTCCCCCAGAACTAATTTTCTTCTATAGCCCTATCTCCAAATACTTACATTATGGATTATTGCCTCAATATATGAATTTTGGACACTCAATCTGTCCATATTAGTCCTCTTCTGTTTTAAAAGTTTAATGTCACCTGACATCAAAATCTGAATTAAAGTCATGTTGAAATAAACAGTGTGGTGATTGTGGTGGTGGAGGAGGTCATAGAGGGATAAATGGTGATGGAAAAAATAAAAGTAATATAGTGGTAGTTCACTTGTTTTAATATTGGAATATACTTTGAATATGAAAATTTAATGATGCTAAAGCCAGCTAATCTCCTAATGTCAAGTATATAGCAACAATTAGAATGTTGGAATAATGATAATAATAATAGTGATAATAGCTAACATTAACAACCATTTACTGCATACCAGGTACTGTTCTGAGCACTTCACATACATAAATAACTACATGTAATCTTCACAAACACACTATTAGGTAGGTAATTTTCTTATCCTCATTTTAAAGAAATTTAATAAATTGGCTTAATTTATTCCCATTTTTAAGTTTTTGTTTATATTGTGTGATTCAAATTTATTTGAAAAAATTGATAGGAAATCCTTAATACTTCTTATTTTTAATAGAAAAACAATGTGCTATGCTGAGAACAGAGGGACATCAGTTTTTCCAAGACAACAGAGATAAACTTGAAGTTTCAGGTAAGCATTATAATCCTTTACACTTTTACAGAGACACATGCTGTGTCAAAATATCACTAAAAATATAATACATTGTAGGTGATTCCTTGACATCATAACTTAAGATGATGACATCAATATAAAAAATGAAAAGCAAAGAAGATGGATGATGTAGAAAATCTCCTAAAAACAGATTTCTGTATTGTTTTAAGACCAATAACAACTCAACCTTTTGGAGAAAAAAAGGTTATTTAAGACTAGAGGCCTGATGCACGAAATTCCTGAATGGATAGGTTCCCTAGGCCTGGCCAGTGATCAGGGCTGATCTGTGGGGCAACCGGCAGGGCAATCAGGGGTCCCCTTGCTGGCATCTGCCTCAGGCTGGGGGCAGCTCCTGCACTGAGCATCTGCTCCCTGGTGGTCAGTGCACATCATAGTGACTGGTTGTTATGCCATTTGGTCAATTTGCATATTAGGCTTTCATTATCTAGGATAGGATTGCCAGTGCCCATCATATGTACTGGACGGTTGGTCACATGCAATTGGCGCCAGTGATAGCTTTATATGTATCATGCATGCACGAGTCAACATTGCACATCATATGCACCAGATGGACAGACAGTGTGTCAGTCACTTAGCCTTTTATATAAAGAGAGATAGAGGCCCAGTGCATGGATTTGAGCACCAGTGGGGTTCCTTGGCCTGAACTGTGGGGATTGGGCCGAAACCGGCTCCCTGACATTCCTTGAGGGGTCCTAGATTGCAAGAAGGCAGTTCTTGAGTGACCCCGAGAATGGGACTCCCTCCTCTCTGGTTCTGGGTGCATCACCTGAGAATCATAGCTGCCAAGTCACTGCAGTTCGGCAGCTCCTGTGTTGAGCATCTGCTCCCTTGTGGTCAGTATGTGTCATAGCTACTAGTTGGAGTGTCTGCCCCCTTGTGGTCATTGCGCATCATAGCTACCAGAAGCTTGGCTGGTCACTTAGGCTTTTTAGTCATATATATATATATATATATTATAGAAGTTGTATACATTGTAGAAATTTTGAAAACAAATAATGAGAAAGAAGATCTCTCCAATTTTCCCCACATCAATATTTATTTTTCTAAAGTATTATATTTTTTAAAAGGCTGCTTAGTTTTCAGTTGAATGGTGGTAATAATTTTTACTTAACTGACTTTCTGTCTTTAGTTATCAGAACTGCTACAATGAACTATTCTGATTATTAGGATAATTCCTTGGGTCAAGGAAAATTAATATTTTAGTCTCTTGAAACATATTTTATTCTTCTACATCCCAAAAAGAGAATGAAATAAATTTTGCTAATCCCAAACAGCAGGATTTTAGTTGAAATAAATCAGTGCATAGATAAGGACAATGAAAAAAAATCTTATTTAAAAGTCAGTATTGGTGTGAGTTTACTAAATTTAATTAAACTGCTGGATTAAACCATTTCTCATGTTTTACAGGCTTTGATCTAGGAGAGAGCTTCTCTTTGCGACGTGCATTTTGTGAAGGTGATAGAACCTGTTTCAAATTGGGAAGTGCACTTCTTATTAGAGATACCATGTAAGTAAAATACTTTTTCTTTATATTTAAATTATACTACAGAAACTATTTTCTAATGGGGTCCCAAATAATTTGTTAAAAAATAAAACATCAAACTACTGTCATACTCACTTGAATGCTGTGATAAAAAATAATTTGTTAAAAAATAAAACATCAAACTACTGTCATACTCACTTGAATGCTGTGATAAATGTTTTGTTTATAAATCTGTTGTTTTTTAATATTCTTTGCAATCTTGTCTTGCTCTATGGTGTAAATACCACTTACACATACAGATAGTGGCATAACCTTTAGAGAATAGCAAAAAAGTTTGCTTCTTGAAGGAATATTTTCATTTAAAGTAGACATGGCCAGCATTAGATTTTAAAATATAAACGTAAGGCACAATTTAGAGTTGGAGACAAAAAGCTTAGGTTTATTATACTTATTTCTATATGTTTTTATGCATATACATAAGCTTCATGATAAATTAAAATAAAAGAATGTGGCCCTTAGGTATTTATTTTATATGCTGTGTGGAGGAAATAGTAGAGAAGAACTGTTTTTCAGTTTTATTTTTGGTCTTGATACCTGTTTCATTTCAAAATGGCTTTACCAAAGGTTTCCTTTCTTATTTTTACTATTCTTTTTTTCCCCGATAAACTTGGGGTTAAAAAAAAGAGTCACTTTCTAGTTAAATACTGACAATTGGTGAGCTACTATTTAGGAAAGGATTAATTCCTCATATGGTTGGCTATATGTCACTGGAGGGTAGATAAACAGCAATTCTGAAAGCTTCAGCCACCAGAAAGGCCCATCTGGCGTATATGGTCATGATATTTAGTCTTGTAGTCCAAGATGAACATTTTAGTATATGAATACACTGCAATGAAAAAGGCATCATTTTTTTTTTAAGTTTAAAATGCAGCATAGCTTTTCTTGTGTGAAAGCATGTATGAATGTTTTCACGTCCTGTTGAGTAGCCTAATATTTAAGTTACCAAACAGTGTTGTTGAGATGCTCAGCATTTGAATTCTCTTCTTATTGCCTATCCTCCGATGCTCCATATAAACCATGTTTTTAGGTTGCTTTTTTTTGTGTATGAGAAAAATCTCTTTTAGGCCTTCTATTTTGTGATGATTTAGATACTTTTAGTTTAATGATATGGTTCATTAGAAGTAGATTACTTATTAATTAATTTAAAAATAAGTTTAAAGGAAGAGAGTAATTTGATACTGATGTGTATAATGAGTGATCATCAGGTGGGGCACTTCAGCAGATGCAACTACATTTGTGATTGGATTTTAGGTGGTTTCACATGTAGGCGTGAAATCCTCAGGGCAAGGCAATTTAATGGTTGGACAGTCATATGCAGTGAAGTCAAGTTAATATGTATCTCATATATATTTCGTATATATAGAAAGATATTTCTTTACTAGTAGGTACATTTAATTAATTAATTTAAGAAAGTCAATAAATTCTCTTCCAAAATTAATATGTATTTTCTTTCATGCTCACTTTTTAATGATTAAAACTCCTGAAATTTTGGCCGAGTGGCTAAAGGATTAGACCCGGGCAGGCGTCTTCAAACTACGGCCCGCGGGCCACATGCGGCCCGCAGAGGAGTCTGATCCGGCCAGCCAGGTTTTTTGGGCAGTGAGCGCAGCCAAGGTGTTACAGTAGGAATTAGTAGTTCATATAGTCCGGCCCTCCAGCTCTCTGAGGGACCGTGATCTGGCCCCCACTTTAAAAAGTTTGAGGACCCCTGGATTAGAGTGATAAATCTTTTTAAAATTCATGGGGCCTGTACATAGGAAAACTTAGCTAAATTGTAAGTAGTTATATTGGAAATTTTCCTGTCCCCTTCAGGCAATGTCATTCATGATAATAAATATTAGGTACAACTAGAATTTCATTTTCCCACTTTTGGCTCTGAATCGCTGTGTAATCCCTGGGCAATCAGCGTAAGTGAATTCTCTGACTCTGCACAGCAGAGCCCTGGTACCTCCACTACAGGAAACTGGAGGGTATCTGGTTAAGCTGACTAGCAAGTGTCAAGTAGCTTGGCACATCTCCACTTAATTTCACTCACTGCGCCAAGTATGCTAGGATGCTTCTCTTGCCTGATGCCATTTTGATTTTTCAATGAGACTGGAGTAAAGTTGCAGCTATTTATATATTTGTAAATAAGCTGCCTTGCAGAATTAGCATGGGAAAAGTCAGATGCTATCTTATATGAAAAATGGGGCTTCATTCTGTGCCTGAGCTTGTTTTTATCTTCCAGGTGAGAATTATGAGGGGAGGGATCTACTAAGTGTGTTGGTCAGATACCGACCTGTTGGGCACACTTGGTACCTTAAGCCCAGCTTAATGTGGAGATACCACAGGCTGCTCTTGCAAGGGCCCTTCAAGTAAATGGTACACACTTCAGGGTGATGGGCCCAGGGAACATCTGAGGGACTTTATGTGCTTGGTTTTATTTTAAATTCATGTCCATTTCTGCAGTATTCCTTGGGATAGCAAATGGTATGTATTTGGGTGTTTTAAAGATTCTGGGTACATGCTGCCTAGTTTCCTAGAATTATCTTTTAAGAAAACAATTCCTTGACTTCATGTATCTACAAATATCCCTTGTTATGTGAAATAAATAATTCATCATTTCTATAGATATTGAAAGAGAGCTATGCCATAGATTATCATATTCTGGTTATCTTTAAATTGTGTTTTGGCATTTATCAGGGCAAAATTTTGAAGTTTTGAGATATACACAAAACATGTGGAGCACCTTATTTTCTCAGAATAATAAATCCTTACATTTTTTTTTTTGCTTCTATAGAAACACGTTTTAAATAAAAATGTCTGAGTAGTTGAATATTTTAGAAGAGTTGATGAATGTTAAATTTTGATACACTGCTGATTCTGAAGGGGCATCTTGCAGAATCTGCCCCCTTTTGACCAGCCAATAGGGGAAATCAATCAATTGTAAATGCACCAGGGAAGGCAATGTTCTGATTTGTCATTGAATTCAAGGGTGGTAAAGAGCCTTCTCTCTCAGGTTCTATGATTGATACCTACTGGCTATCTGGAATTCTGTGTTGAGAGAGATTCTGAGTCCATTTGGGGTTCAGGGGTGGGAGTGCTGTGATCCATTAGCAAAAAGAAGGGAGAAGGGAATGCTCATTTGTGTTTCACATCTGTAGCTTCTCTGGTTTAGGATGATTCCAGTGAACAACACGTTGGTTTTTGCAGTTGAAACAGTTCCTAAGAATGGGGAAATGAGGTTATGTGTGAAAAAATAACCAACACATACTGATTTTAATAAGATTTTATGAGCTAGACACAGTGGCATAATTCGCAGATATGGTCCCTTAGCTTTTGCTATATCTCCAGGGAAGAGGCATCTCTCTCTTTCACAAACTGGGGGTTGCTTTCTGAAAGCTAGTGCTATTCAGTTTTACAGTTTTACATGGTAAAAAAAAAAAGAGCTGGTAGAAGATAGTCTCATTTGCAATTTATCTTATTTTTTCATGGTTATTGATTTTTATTTTATTCTGAATTCTTGCTTAGCGTTTCTATTTTAGTCAGGTATGATCATCTTATCACAAATTTCTTTTCTTTAATATTTTTCTTTATTGATTAAGGTATTACATATGTGCCCTTATCTTCCCATTACTCTCACCACCACCACCCCACTTATGCCCTCACCCCACTGGTGTTTATGTCCATTGGTTAGGCTTATATGCATGCATACAAGTCCTTTGGTTTACCTCTCTCCCTTATCCCTCCCCTCCCCTACCTTCCCTATGAGGTTTGATCGATGCTTCTCTGTCTCTGGATCTGTTTTTGTCCATCAGTTTATCTTGTTCATTATATTCCACAAATGAGTGAGATCATGCGATATTTATCTTTCTCTGGCTGGCTTATTTCACTTAGCATAATGCTCTCCAGTTCCATCCATGCTATTGCAAATGGTAAGAATTTCTACTTTATTTTTGTTTTGATTTTTAAAATATATTTTTATTGATTTCAGAGACGAAAGAAGAGGGAAAGAGAGATAGAAACATCAATGATGAGAGAGAATTATTGATCAGCTGCTTCCTGCATGGCCCCTACTGGGGATCGAGCCTACAATCCAGGCATGAACCCTTGGCCAGAATTGAAACTGGGACCCTTCAGTCCACAGGCAATCGACCTATCCAGTGAGCCAAACCAGCTAGGGCTTATTCTTTTTTTTTTTTTTTTTTTTTTTTACTGCAGCATAGTATTCCATTGTGTAGATGTACTATAGGTTTTTAATCCACTCATCTGCTGATGGGTACTTAGGCTGTTTCCAAATCTTAGCTCTGGCAAATTGTGTGCTATAAACATAGGGGTTCATATATCCTTTCTGATTGGTGTTTCTAGTTTCTTGGTATATATTCCTAAAAGTGGGATCACTAGGTCAAAAGGAAGTTCCATTTTTAGTTTTTCTGAGGAAATTTCACACTGTTCTCCACAGTGGCTGCACCAATATGCATTCCCACCAGCAATGTACTAGGGTTCCTTTTTCTCCTCATCCTCCCAGCACTTGTCATTTGTTGATGATAGTCATTCTGACAGATGTGAGATGGTACCACATTGTCATTTTGATTTGCATCTCTTGGATGATTAGTGACTTTGAGCATGTTTTCATATGTCTCTTGGCCTTCCTTATATCCTCTTTTGAAAAGTATCTATTTAGATCCATTGTCCATTTTTTGATTGGGTTGTTTATCTTCCTTTTTTAGGTAGTATGAGTTCCCTGTAGATTAAACCCTTATCAGTAATAACATTGGCAAATATGTTCTCCCATGTAGTGGGCTTTCTTGTTGTTTTGTTGATGGTTTCTTTTGCTGTACAGAAGCTTTTTATTTTGATGTAGTCCTATTTGTTTATTTTCTCTTTAGTTTCCATTGCCCTAGGAGCTGTATCAGTGAAGATACTGTTTCAGCATAAGTCTGAAATTTTGCTGCCTATGGATTCCTCCAATATTTTTATGGTTT